GATAACTGCTTTACAGAAGTTTGTGGTTTTCTGTCATACCTCAACAAAAATGAGCCATAGGTACACCCAAGTCCCCCCCTCACAGGCCTCCCTCCCATCTCCTTCCCCACCCCACCCTTCAGCCTGTCACAGAGCCCTGTTTGAGTTCCCTGAGTCATACGGCAAATGCCCATTGTACATTTGGTGTGGTAAGTTTCTGTGTCACTCTCTCCATACATCTCCCCTTCTCCCTCCTCTCCTCCCCCCGTGTCCATAGGTTTGTTCTGTGTTTCTCCTTTGCTGCCCTGAAAATAAATTAATCAGTGCCATCTTTTTAGATTCCATATATATGTCAGTATACGATATTTGTATTTCTCTGACTTAACTTCACTCTGTATAATAGGCTCTAGATTCATCCACCTTATTAGAATGGATTCAAATGTGTTCCTTTTTATGGCTAAGTAGTATTCCATTGTACAAATGTACCACAGCTCTTTATCCATTCATCTGTTGATGGACATCTAGGTTGCTTCCATGTTCTAGCTGTTGTAAACAGTGCTTCAATGAGCATTGGGGTATATGTGTCTTTTTCAATTTTGGTTTCCTCAGGACATATGTCTAGGAGTGGGATTGCTGGTTCATATGGTGGTTTTATTCCTAGCTTTTAAAGAAATTTCCATACTGTCTTTCATAGTGGCTTTATCAGTTTACATTCCCACCAGCAATGCAAGAGTGTTCCCTTTTCTCCACACCCTCTCCAGCATTTATTGTTTGTAGACTTTTTGATGATGGCCATTCTGATTAGTGTGAAGTGGTATCTCACTGTAGTTTTGATTTGTATTTTTCTGATAATGACTGATGTTGAACATCTTTTCATGTGTCTGTTAGCCATCTGTATGTCTTCTTTGGAGAAATGTCTCTTCAGGTCCCTTTCCCATGTTTTGACTGGGTTGTTTGATTTTCTGGTATTGAGTTGTATGAGTTGCTTGTATATTTTGGAAATTAACTCTTTATCAGCTGTTTCCTTTGCTACTATTTTCTCCCATTCTGAGCGTTGTCTTTTCACTTTGTTTGTATTTTCCTTTGCTGTGCAAAAGCTTTTAAGTTTAATTAGGTCCCACTTATTTATTTTTGTTTTTATTTCCATTACTCTAGGAGGTGGGTCATAGAAGATCTTGCTTTGACTTATGTCATCAAGTGTTCTGCCTATGTTTTCCTCTAAGAGTTTTATACTTTCTGGCCTTATATTTAGGTCTTTAATCCATTTTGAGTTTATTTTTTGTATGGTTTTAGGTAGTGTTCTAATTTCATTCTTTTGCATGTGCCTGTCCAGTTTTCCCAGCACCACCTATTGATAAAAACAATGTGATCATCTCAATAGATGCAGAAAAAGCCTTTGACAAAATTCAGCATCTACTTATGATAAAAGCACTTCAAAAAATGGGCATAGAAGGAACCTACCTCAACATAGTAAAGGTAATATATGAAGAGCCCACAGCAAACATTATTCTCAATGGTGAAAAACTAAAAGCATTCCCTCTAAGATCAGGAACAAGACAAGGGTGTCCACTCTCACCAGTATTATTCAACATAGTTTTGGAAGTCCTGGGTATAGCAATTACAGAAGAAAAAGAAATAAAAGGAATCCAGATTGGAAAAGAAGAAGTAAAACTCTCACTGTTTGCAGATAACATGATACTCTACATAGAAAACCCAAAAGAAACTATCAGAAAATTACTAGAGCTAACCGGTGAATTCAGCAATACAAGTTGCAGGATATAAGGTCAATACACAGAACTCACTTGCATTCCTGTATACTAACAATGAGAAATCAGAAAGAGAAATTAAGGAATCGATACCATTCACCATTGCAACAAAAAGAATAAAATATCTAGGAATAAACCTACCTAAAGAGACAAAAGACCTGTATATAGAAACCTATAAGGCACTGATGAAAGAAATCAAAGATGACATAAACAGATGGAGAGATATTCCATGTTCCTGGGTAGGAAGAATCAATATTGTGAAAATGACTATACTACCAAATGCAATCTACAGATTTAATGCAATCCCTATCAAATTACCAATGGCATTTTTCACAGAACTAGAACAAAAAATTTCACAACCCATATGGAAGCATAAAAGACCCTGACTAGTCAAAGCAGTGTTGAGAAGGAAGAATGGAGTTGGAGGTATCAACCTTCCTGACTTCAGACTATACTACCAAGCTACAGTCATTAAGACAGTATGGTCCTGGCACAAAAACAGAAATATAAACCAATGGAGCAAGGTAGAGAACTCAGAGATAAACCCACGCACCTATGAGCACTTTATTTTCTATGAAGGAGGCAAGAACATACAATGGGACAAGGATAGCCTCTTCAGTAAGTGGTGCTGGGAAAACCATTTTGTTTTAAATGTACTTCATAAGAACATTTCCTTACTGAGTTTTTGCATTATACAACATTAAAAAAGCTCTGTAACTTTTGTCTTTATTTCTTTTCAATATAGTTCAATGAAATTATCTTGATTTGGCACCTTGATTGTTACTTTGTAGCATTATGTGAACTTTTAGAAACACTTACCCTAACTAGTAACCATTTATTGATAAGTTTTACTTACTAGCTTTTAAAGTTAGACATGTTCATAGTTCAATACCAAAACATGACTAAAATGAATAAATCTCATGAAGTATCAGTGGACTCTAGGAAACATGGCATTAAAAAAAAAAAAACAAAAAAACTCTGTGAGCAATAGACTTTAAATGTATTTTCTCCAAAAGACCAAGGGTAAGAGTAAAATCAAATTTCAAAACTGTGATAATTTTTAATCCTTTGAAGGTTAAGTATTTACAAAGAAATAAAAGCTGAAGATGTTATATATATTATGAAAATTAAAAGAAACATAGGAACTTGGCCCATGTGATGAAATAATATTGACTACACACAAAGTTTTTAAAGGCTAGTTGTCCTGGATACTGAGATTTGAAATGCAATACAGACTCAGAAAACAAGAAATCAGCTGATTGACTTATGGGAATAAATTCCAAATTCATGAGAAGGCAAAGAATTAAAATCATCCTCTATAATGTCAAACACATAGTAGGTTCTTAATAAATATTGGGTGCATTGGGAGAAAACAAAGCATTTTTAGGTTGGAGGCTTAAAAAGGCTTTTAGAGTCTTCTTGATTTCTTTTTCTTCTTTGGGCACACCATGCAGCATGTGGAATCTAGCTCCCTGACCAGGGATTGAACCTGTGCCTGCTGTAGTGGAAGCATGGAGTCTAAACCACTGGACTGCCAGGGAAGTCCCTCCTCTTGGTTTCTTGATTGTAGTTATGTGTCCTGACCTGGATTCTGGATGAGAATCACCCATCCACAGGGCAGCTCAATATGAAAACTGGAACAGTCTCCTCTTAAGCAAACCCTCCCCCAACAAGTCACTATTTTATACTCAATGAGTATTTAAAATCTATTTTAAAGGTTTTCGTGGCCATTTGAGAGTTTAAAAAAAATCAGGTAAACCAGTTTTTGGATTGGATTGCCTGGTTATACAGTGCACTGGTTACCCTGGTAGCTTCTGCAACCGCCTGCCCATGAGAGGCACTAGCTCCTGGAGGTAGGGGTGGGAAATGACTTTTGAAAGTGAGACTCACACTGACCTCTTACTACCTCCGCTTCTTCCTTTTCTTACCTGTTTCTTCCTTAGTTTCAACAAAAGTTTTTATTTGTTATATGGAGAGTTTATCATGGAAGACTCTTTAAAGGAGGAAAACAGAAAAATAAAACTTAATGTCTAATGCTTGGCTGTTCATGGATATTTTATCTTTATCGTATGTGCTTTCCTCTATAAGTTGCAGCTCCAGTACATTAACTTTAGAAGTATTATTTTTATGTGAAGTTTTGTGATACTTCATGGCTGAACCTGACAAAACTAGATTTCCTTTTGCTGGTGTCAGGGTCCTCCAGAGAAGCAGAGCCAACAGGATACACATATGCATGCATGCATGTGTTTACATACAAGTTTATTATAAAGAACTGGTTCAGACCATCATGGAAGCTGAGATTATTAGATCTGCAGTCAGCAAGTTGGAGACCCAGGGGAACTGATGCAGTTCCTGTCCAAATCTGAAGACCTGAGAACCAGAAGCACTGATGGTAGGATCTCAGTCTAAAAACTGGCAGGTCTGACACCCAAAAAGCTGGTGTTTTGGTTTTAGTCCAAAAGCAAGAAAAAGCTGATATAGCAGCTCAAGGGCACTCAGACAGGACGAGTTCTCTCTCACTCAAAGGGGTGTCACTTTTTTCTTCCACTCAGGCCTTCAGTGGGTTGGCTGAGGCTCACCCACATGAGGGCAGGCCAACTGCGTTCCTCAGTCTACTGACTCAAACGTGAATCTCACTCTCAACCCCCTCACAGATGCACACACCCAGAACAATGTTTGACCAGATGTCTGGCGCTCCTTGGTCCAGTCAAGCTGACACATAAAATTAACCATCACAGCAGGTGAGATTCAATTATAAGATTAAATGAGTGTTGGTAGATTTACTTTGAAAAATTATGCTTGCAACATAAGTTCAAGTATACAGTTATAGAGCATTTGAAGATTCAGTGAGCCATCTTAAGGGAAAATTAGTTGGCCTTTTCAGTGTTCCCTGAAAAACTATTGTTTCACCAAAACCAATTCTACAAATATTAGCCACTATTTAACTAGTTCATTAAATCATCTATCAACCGTGCACACATCAGTTGAGTATGTATTTTGTGTCAGGCACTGTGCCAGATGCGGGGTATTCAGATGCCAAAGGAGAGAAACCCATTCCTGTCAGCCAGGAATTAATGTCCTGTCCAGCAGCTGAGGCAGCCAAATAGATAAATTAGGAAGTAAAGTTGATTTTTAATTTTTTTCCCCAGATATAATTGACATACAACCTTATGTTAGTTTCAAAATGGAGGTAGAGAAAAGATGGTGGAGTAGGACTTGAGCTCACATCCCCTCACAAAAACACCAAAATCACAACTAACTACTGAACAACCATAAACAAAACAGACTGGAGCCTACCAAAACAAATATTCTACATCCAAACACAAAAAAAGAAGCCACAGTAAAATGGTAGGAGGGGACTTTTGCAATATAATTAAACCCCAAACCCACAGGGTGGGTGACCCGCAAATGAAAATAATTATATTGTAGAGGTTCTCCCAGAGGAGTGAGAGTTCCAAGTTCCCCATCAGGCTCCCCAGCTCTTGGGTGGAGGACGCCCTCTCTCGGAAACTGCTGCAAACCACACATAGCAAGGACCCAGAGGTAAAGAGTGTCTTGGTGCAGGGACTCTGCAGGCAAGGACTCCTGCATGGAAGCTCCAGAATAATGTGGCTGGGCTTCCATCACCTGTGACTCCATCTGGTGCTGTCAGTGACTTTAAAATTTTTTATTTTATAAATTAAAAAAAATTATCAATTCAATTCTTATGTATTTTCTCTTAGATGGTTGCCTGTTTGTGTTCATGTCTATGGGCAGGTATAGCCAACATTTTTCATCTTGATTGAAATGCATATTTTGCTTTATCTTTTTTCCTTACAAGAAAATGATTTTAATCTGAGTATTATTTAATTGCAGACATATAGCTGGTCAATAGGCACATGAAAAGAAGCTTAACATAGCTCATTATTAGAAAGAAGCAAATTAAAATCACAATGAGGTATCACCTCACACTGGTCAGAACAGCCATCACTAAAAAGTCTACAAACAATAAATGCTGGAAGGGAGTGGATAAAAAGGAACCCTTCTGCACTGTTGGTGGGAATATAAACTGGTGCAGCCACTATGGAGAACAGTAGGGAGGTCCTCAAAAACCTAAAACTAGAGTTGCTATATGATCCAGCAATCCCACTCCTGGGCATATATCCAGACAAAGCTATAATTCAAATACACACACACACATAATGGAATATTCAGTTCCCAGTTCAGTTCAGTTGCTCAGTCGCGTCCAACCCTTTGCAACCCCATGGACTGCAGCACACCAGGCTTCCCTGTCTATCACCAACTCCCGGAGCTTGCTCAAACTCATATCCATCGAGTCAGTGATGCCATCCAATCATCTCATCCTCTGTCGTCCCCTTCTCCTCCTGCCTTTAACCTCACCATTAGGGTGTTTTTCAGTGAATCAGTTCTTTGCATCAGGTGGCCAAAGTATTGGAGTTTCAGCTTCAGCATCAGTCCTCCCCTTGAATATTCAGGACTGATTTCCTTCAAGATTGACTGGTTTGATCTCCTTGCAGTCCAAGGGATTCTCAAGAGTCTTCTCCAACACCAGTTCAAAAACATCAATTCTTTAGTGCTCAGCTTTCTTTATAGTCCAACTCTCATATCCATACATGACTACTGAAAAAACCATAGCTTTGACTAGACAGGCCTTTGAGAGCAAAGTAGTGTTTGCTTTTTAATATGCTATTTATGTTTTTCATAGCTTTTCTTGAGCAATATTCAATGAATTGGTCATTGAAGACCAATATTCTTGACCAATATTCGATGGAATATTGTTCAGTCATAAGAAAGAATGAAATGTCATTTGCAGCAACATAGATGGACCTAGAGATTGTCATACTAAGTAGCTCAAAAGGAGAAAGACAAATACCATGTGATATCACTTATATGTGGAATCTAAAATATGACACAAATCAACATATCTGTGAAACAGAAACAGACTCAACAAGCACAGAGAACAGACTTGTGGTTGCCCAGGAGAGAGGGGAGGGATGAACTGGGAGTTTGGAGTTAGCAGATGCAAACTATTATATATAGACTGGATAAACAAGGTCCTACTGTATAGCACAGGGAATTATATTCAGTATCTTATAATCTACAGTGGAAAAGAAGCTGAAGTTGTATACCTGGAATTAATACAATATTATAAGTCAACTATAGTTAAATTTTTAAGAATTGTAACTGTGTATGTTGATGGATGTTAACTGAACTTATTGTGATCATTTTGCAATATATACAAATATTGAATCATTCTACTGTACACCTGAAAACTAATGCAATGTTATATATTCCTTGCTTAGTTGCTAAGTTGTCTCTGACTCTCTGCAACGCCATGGACTATAGCCCACCAGGCTCCTCTGTCCATGGGATTTCCCAGGCAAGAATGTTGGAGTGGGTTGCCATTTCCTTCTCCAGGGGATCTTCCCAACCCAGGGACTGAACTCACATCTCCCGCATTGCAGGTGGATTCTTTACTACTGAGCCACCAGTGAGGCCCAGTTTTCTACTGCAGGTGCCTATTTTCTATTTGGGCACAAAGGAAGGAAGCAAGCTGAATGAATATGATTAAGTTCCTGGCCTGATATGTCCCCCACATGGTCTGTGTTTGTTTTTCTGTATAGGAAATGCTAAACCCTAGTGGCTCCCCCAAACACCTGGATTTTAGTATCTGAAAATTTAAGCTAATTAGCAAAACATAATTCCTACTTAATATAGCTTTCATCTGCTCATATCAATCTAATATGATTATTCCCAGTGCCAATTTCAAGTTCTAAATATAGTCTCCTATAACAGGCAGCTTGCACTGAATCCCCATCTTCATTTCACTAGTTCTACTGCAGATAAGTGTTCCCTTGGCTATTCAGCAAATCCTTCTAATCCTGGGAATGTGGTCCTTAAGTAACTAACCTCTTGTTGGGGAAAAAAAAAATACCAGTCCTGGTCTTCATCACATTTCTATACTCTACTGAGCCCAGGTTTGCGCAGTTCCCAGTTTCCTTGCATCTAGAGATTTTAGTTGCCTGTAAGGTTTCTGAATTTTCTTATTTTCCTGGTATGTCTGTTGTGGAGCGTCTCACAGTTTTAGCGCATCCCCCCCTCCCACTCTCTCTCTTTCTCCTTCTAACCCTGGGAATTAAAGGTATGTGCTCTGCAGTTTCAGTAACCTGGCTTTTAAGTGAGACCGCAGTACAAAATAATAAATGAGATTGTAAACAATGTTTGAAGTGGGTGCGAGCCATGCTGGACATTTTAAGATGGATATTTTTGCAGAAGCCATGGTAGAAGATGACAAAAGGCAAATAGATCACAGATGAGGGCAAAATGAAAACAAATGAAGAAAGAGAATGAACAGACACAGATTTTAGAAATCATTTTCTATTCTTAATTAGGCTTCATACCACCATGTTTGGTTACTGCTCTGCTTTCATTCATGTCTTTTGACCTTGCTAAAAAAAAAAGAAACAAAGAAGTCACTTCGAGGGACCTCCATTTCAGTTCCAGCGTGTGGCTCAGTTCACTTATGGTCAGAGCACAGCAGCCATCGTATGCCTACAGGAAAGCCCATTCTTGGTCACTGGTTCTGCCTGGATCTCAGTTCATTACTCAGGACAATACGTCATTCACGTCCACAGCGGTCTACATTGCTCTAGGTCTGAACACAGGCATGGAGCAACCGTGAAATACCAAGAGTGGATGAGGAAACTACAACACTCAGCTCTGGGAACCAAATGATGGCCAATGTACTAGCCCAGGTATGCATGACCACTGTAAGCCAGAATGGTGCCAAGAATGACAAAGATAGGAGGGAGAGAATGAATAATTACCTACTGGCTTAATGCAGACATTGATTTGTTTTCATAATTTTAAGTTGAATATACCAACTTGATGAAAGTGTTGAAAAACCAAATATAATTCTTTATTAAAATAGAAAGCACAGTGAGGTATGCTTTAAAAACAGACTAACTTTAGGGAACTGGATATTTTCATGGCTCCACTGAAGATTTGCTAATTGACAAAGGGAAAACCCACCTTACAAATGGAGAGAGATGGGACTATCATCACCTTAACTCAGGGGTCAAACCAGACATCATTAATAGTGTGGCAGCCACGCTTAGTGCCCAGCTGGTGTCACACACGATGTGGCACATGCTCTCATGTATGGAATGTTCTTCAAATGTGTAACCTGAGCCTTATAGAGACTCTACAGGACATATAGAACATGAAGGAATGTGTTAAACCACATGAAGAAAGAATCCAAACAGTCCCGATTAGGGCATTCTAAAAGACAACTGGCGTGGCCTTTTCTAAAAGTCAGGAGCATGGGAAAGTGGTGTGTGTGTGCTATTTTGGATAAAAAGAAACTGAAGACAGACCAACTGCAATATGCCCTCCTTGATTGGATTCTAAATTGGAAAAAAAAAATCTATAAAGCCAAGGTTACAATTTGAATATGGACTAGGTATGGGAATTAATTTATTAAGTGGATTATGTAAAAGGATGTTCTCATTTCTGGGGGATGTGTCCTGAAGTGCTTGGGGTGACTGATTTTAAAATGGCCTAATAACAACAGAACACAGATGAAGCAAAGATGGCAAAGTGATGACAATTATGGATTAAAAGTATGGGATTATGGGTATCTGTTGTAGTTTTTTCTATTTCTCTTCATGCTTGAATATTTTATGATAAAAAGTTTTTTTTAAAAAAACCCTGTAACTTCATGAGTCAATAATTTCTGAAAAGTAGATGTTTCAAAACTAATTCATTTCTCTCCATCCATCTGGACCAAATCCACCTGGCAAATTTACCAAAAAAATAAAATAATAATAATGGCTAATATAAATGTTAAGTAAAATCTGCAGTTTTCACATAAAGTCATCCACTGGCAACAACAAACGGCAGTAATTTAAACTAAACCACTTCAACTTTCCTTTAATTGTCTTTATCTTATGAGGAAGAAACAAAAACTTGAATGGTAACAGTGCCTGGCAAATATCAATATAACTGAAAATGTGCTGTTCTTGTTAATGAATGCATTTTAAATAGATGGTGTAAAAGTGAAAAGAATCTTGCTAATCTCAAATTATCTGTGTAATCAACTTTTCAGCATGAGTAATTTGAAGCATAAAGAATAGCTGTCAGTAAAAAAAGAACCACATGTAAGGAACTGCCCATAACTTATAAATAGTTATGCCAGCTTACAAATTAATAAAATAATAGCGTAGTGGTGTAGTGTTAGTTGCTCAGTCATGTCTTTGTGACCCCATGGATTGTAGCCCACTAGGCTCCTCTGTCCATGGAGTTCTCCAAGCAAGAATACTGGAGTGAGTTGCCATTTCCTTCTATAGATCTTCCGGACCCAGGGATCAAACCCAGGTCTCCTGCACTGCAGGCAGATTCAATCCCCACATCTATTTTAGCCAGTCAATTTTCCTCCCTGGATATATGTGTAGAATATGAGATCAAATATTCAATACTTACATTCTACTGTATACATTTCAGTTGAATTTTTGTCCAGATTTGGGAATCAAAGCTGACTTCTGAAATCACTAAAATTCCCTTCTGATAATAATGAGGTGATTATCAACTGGGCAGGATGAAAATAGCACAGGCTTGGGAGTTATGAAACTTATGTGACAGTCCACTCTGCAATGCTTGTGTCCTAAACAAACAGTCCTTAGTGTCTTTGGACTTTAATTTCCTTGTTTAAATAGGCCAATGGTTAGAATAAAGACTCTTAACATGGATTGCAAGGGTCTGTGGATCCCCTGAAAGTAAACTATCTCATGCATATTAGTGTAGAAGCATTTCTCTGAGGAGAGAATGATAGATAAGACGTACAAATTGCAACAACTCTCATCGAAGGGTATTATCTGATTCCCTGTCCCCTGGTCTGGGATGGCCTTGTGACTCACCCTGAGCAACAGAATGAGGCAGAAGTGATGATATGTGACTTGTAAGCCTTGACCTTGCAGCTTCTGCCCTTGTTCTCTTGGAAGGCTGCCACCATGTAAATGAGCCCTGCATCCCTGAGGCAGAGCTGTGGTGCAGCGGCAGCCAGCAATGACCACCGGTGGCAGAAGCTGTCCTGGTCTATCCAGCCTCATTCTAGATAAAGATGAATGAAGCTGCCTAAGGGACACCAGACAAAACTAGCCAGCTGGGCCCAGGAAAACAGAATTGTGAGCAAATTAATAGTGTTATAAGCCACAGAGTTTTGGGGTGGTCAGTTGTAATGCATTATTTAACTATTCCAAGAGGGTTTTCAGCTTTTCTCAAATTCTCTTTATTGAACTTCTGAATTTGAATTAGATTATTTAAAAGGTTATAATTCCTTGTCTCTGCTCTGTTAACTACATCACTGGTATGATTTAATGTGGCAAGTCATGTATTCAAACTGCATTTTAAAGTACATCCTAGAATTACTGAACTGAAGAATCAGCAGGTCTTTGAGTCTATACTTCAAAGATATTTTCTACTTTCCTCTTAAAAAAATGTGGAACAGTCCTCAGGCTCATCTTACATTCTTATTTTTAAAGATTAAAGCAATTTCATCTGAAAATTATATTAATATTCCAGTTTGTTATTTCCAGACAAGTGTTTGAACTTATTTAGGTCAGCGAGCATTTGCTCCTAAGTGATCTTATTCTTCAATCCCTTTTAACCAAACTCTGTCCCATCCTTTCTAAAGAGTGAAACAGTCTGAGGGTGTGGTCACCCTGTGCCTTTCCTGCTGACATGACATGGCTGAAACGCCATCCAGCCAGGTGTGGCTTCCGTACTTGCTTTTTTTCAAATGACCCTCTTCATTATCGGGAATGGTGGCCTCCTTCTGCATTTAGTCTTTCTGACTCTTTTCTCACATGTTCTTGACAGATTTTTTGTATCCGTGCTTGTTTCTCAGATCATATTTCACATTTATATACACTATTGAAAAACATCTCATCTCAACAGCCAGCTTCCTGCACAAAGATAGTAATCTTTTTGGCTGCCCCCTTCTCTTTTCTTCTCTTCTTCCCCTTGGCCCCCCGCCCTCGCTTTGGACCATTCACAATTTTAGCATCAGAGTTTCATTCTGAGAACTCTCCCCTGCTTCTTTTTTGGACCCTCAGACCAGGGGAGACCAAGGGGCAAAGTCAAGCTTTTATAATTTCCTGAGATATTTTAAAACTCAAACTAACTGAGTGTGTCTGGTAGTGACCACATCCCTCTGGAATTTTCTGATGGCCAGGTGGCCCGCTTCCAGGATTCCTGTCACTTCTGATTTTCCATGCAGGGCCTCTGAGTTGGCCAGAATTAGAAGCAGAGTGTTAATCCTCTCCCTTCTGAAAGATGGAATTATCATGTGAGTTAGTGACTTTCAGCCTTGCTGCACACTGGAATCACTTGGGGGCAGGGACATTTAAACAAACAAACAAACAAACAATGTCTGGGGCCCTACTCCAAGAGACTCTTCTTTAATTAGAATGGGTAGAGCCTGCTCTACCTATTAAAAAAAAATTACGGGATTATTCTAACAGCCAGACATGGCTGAGAACAGTAATTAAGGTGAATCATGAATTTATCAGCTGTTCTGAGTTTAGAAAATGAGGCATCTGGCGATGCCAGGGTAGTTGAAGCCCCCATCATGATGAATCTTAACGCTTCTTTTCTCTAACCCATTAAGCTAACACAGGCAATCCAGTTCTACCATGTCTAAACAGGATAATGACAACCAGAACTGCGATATTACTTTCTGATTGTTGATATTAATTTCAATGCAGCTCTAACATCTTTAAACAAGACTAAGCTCAACAGCAAAAAATTCTTTGAAAAGTCAGAAGACAGTTGGGAACAGTAACTTTTCTGAATTCCAAATAAAGATGAACTACATTGCTGTGGATGGTTTTCCTTATTAATTAAGAAAGTAATTTGACAAAGAAAGTGTATTGAAAATGAAAAAATATAGCAAATTTTTTTTCTCCTTCTTTGGTCAATTTTCAGGATGCTAATTCTGTGTTAGCCAAAAGGCAACTGAGATGCAAAATACATTATATTTTTGAAGAATTCTCTCTCACTATATATCACATACACTAATTTTTGGGCTTTAAAATTTTTTTAAACATCTCAATTATTATCCCCAAGTATGCAAATGCAATTTTTCATGAGGCTATTGTGCTTTCATGATGAAATTGCCTTGTTTCTATTATAATTAGTGGCAGAACTGATTCTAGTTTCATTCGCAGACACAAGCTAAGTGTCAGCCAAGTTGGGTGCTAAGGCATGAACAGCAAATCAATTCTGAATGAGCGTCTTCTCAAAGGACCTACTGAGGGCACACTTGTATCATGACGACCAAAGCACATGCTAGGACTACACATTCATGATTACGCCACTCAGTAGGTGGTGTGAGACACTGCAGGCATGCAGGGGAATTCTGCTTCCTGTGAACTGGAGTTGATCATAGGACAGCGATTCTCCTGAATGCTCACTCCAGGAGTAGAAGGCATAGAGAGTTCTGAAACCTTAGCTCTAATCTGTTCTAAGTTACCAGTGTAGGAACTGCTATCTGTGGACAGCAGAAGTCCAGGGGTATGCTTTGTAAAATCCAAAAGTGAAAAACAGTAATGAGCAGTATTCTCATGCTGAAATACTGCAACTGCTTTCAATCAAGCAGTCCCTTTCAGAATCACATGCATTTTGTCAACAATTCGGTTTTGCAAACATTTTGCAATACGGTATCATCCGACGAACTCTCAATAACGTATTTTCCACTAAAGAAAGCACCCGTACAAAACGGTGTCAAATAGCATGAAAGGGTGTGTTCTGAAACTGTGGACACTGAGAAAACTAGTGTTGCTTCTCTTTCCAACTCTAACTCATGCCATCTTGAGCTAGGATTACAGGAGCTAAAAACAATGCATGAGAAGGTGGAGGAATGAAAAAGAAACCCTGACAAAACAAGAGAGCACAACAGCAGAGGGAAGACAACTGCTACAAGGTTTCCTAAAACTGGTGCATGTAACTCAGACCCAGACTTATTTTAACCTCTCTCATTTTACTTAGAATACCTAAATACTCACAAATATCGCACCGTGTGTGCATGCTCACTCAGTTGCATCCAACTCTTTGTGACCTCATGAAACATAGCCTACCCAGGCTCCTCTGTCCATGGAATTTTCCAGGCAAAGAGTACTGGAGTGGGTTGTGATTTCCTACTCCAAAATATTTCACCATCTACTGCCAAATATCAACACTGAAAATGATGTATACCTTTGTTCTGTGTCAGGGCAAGAATTGCAGATACATGCCTAAGTGTTTATATAAGTTTAAATAAAGCCTCAAGTTAGATTTCTGTTCCTACCAAAATTGTGCAGTCTTTCTAAACAACTCTGTTGACTTTCCTGGTGAAAAGAGAAGACTCCCACTGCTTCAAATTAAGTCTACTTATCAGCAGAGAAATCATGGGTTATGACCAAAGGAAGACAGATTGGGTGCTTCTTTGATTAGAGTAAGTATATTCCTCTTACAAATAGCTTGCCATCAGTGGCTCAGGTGGTAAAGAATCTGCCTGCAATGCAGGAGACTTGGGTTCAATCCCTGGGTTGGGAAAATCCCCTGGAGGTAAAAATGGCACCCCAATCCAGTATTCTTGCCTGGAGAATTCCATGGACAGAGGGCCTGGTAGGCTACAGTCCATGGGGATGAAAAGAGTCAGACATACCTGAGGAACTAACACTTTCAGTTACAGAAAATAAGCACCTCACATCTGAGGTGTGCATCCATGATTGCTTTTTCTACCTCTCTCCTTAGTAGGATGGGAAAAAACATACTTAGTACCCTAATGTTTTGGTTTTGCAAGCAATACAATCAACCTCCCAATTTCATCCTAAACCAGGAGGCATTCCTACTTTGCACAGTTCAACCAGGCCTGCACAAATGACTGGGATCAAAAGAAGACATTCTGCCTCTTCACTTGAACTGAGTCAATGTGAATTAATTTAAAATGTCAAACTTGATTTCAATAAAACAGACTTGAAAAACAATACTGTTTGGTTAAGAAAGAGGTTAATGAGGAAAATGTAATCCCCACTCAAATGTCATTGGAATGCAAAGCCACATTTATTTGCATGTGTGGTATCTGTAAAAGGTCCAAGGAATTTTGTTTTTAGTGTTTTGAATTGTTTATAATGTATTCTTTTTTTCCATCTACTAACAATTCCCAGAAATGATGAAAATCAAAAGATGGAAAAATATAAATGCATTTGGGTTCTAAGAAAATTACCAGTTGCAACATCTGCTCTAGCCACAGTTCATAAAGCAGGTGATTATGGAGACAATAAAGAAAAATGTTATTAAGTCAGTAAAAAAAGATCTCTTGAACCTTGCCAACTCTGTGATAGCGCCTAGAAGTCTGACACTCCAAAACAGTTCATGCAAAATTTTACAACAAAATTTTCACTAATAATGATGCTCGTTTGCAAGCACAGGGTTCAGATATTCCAGGCTTCAGGACATGAAATACACTGAGCAATTTCTCTGACCTTGTTATGTTTTATTAAATCATTTACCAAAGTGTCAAATAAAACAAATCTATTATTTAAAAATCAACCCTGGAAAGGTCATTAGCTTTTCAACAGACCAGTTTTTCGTCGCACTTTTAGATATTTTTCCGCACATTTCAGGGCCAGGAACTGCTTCATTAAGAGCACCGGGTTTCAAAACAACCCAGTTCCCTGAGGCTCGGCAGCCAGAGCAGAGCACTGTTCTGGGAGCCACAGGCCTCAGTTAACGAGCAGCCAGGCCTCAGAGTCAGGGATGTCTTGGCAGAGAGTCCACCCTGTTAATGTTCCGGCCACGGTTCACCTAGTAAGGAGCTGAAACTCTACTGGATAGGATTAGCGTTGCTTAAAATTTTATTTAATGCCTTGATCCGTCACTTGAATGGTCTCCCTAGGCCTTCAATTATGCAAGAATGAAGATGAGACAAGAATTAAGGCATTTATGGCCTCTCCTTATATTTCTATTTCTGGCAAATCCTGTAAGATACTGAGAGTGATACAGTCCTACAGTAATGAAATCCCTTTGGGAACCTCTCCTATTCCCCACCCCGAAGTTTCAGATAACAGGGCTGCCTTTGGAGTAACTCCCTGCACCCTTTGCTGACCTAGCCCATGGGTGCATCTGGAAGAACCACTGGCTCTTTTGGACCAAACCTTAGCTGGGGTGAGAGGTACAACCTAAGAGGCCTCTAAAATCCCAACTACTTCACAGAACTCAGTTAACTACTAGAGAATTAATATTTTTTGAGAGTGTTAGCACCATGTCCCTCCTGGGTTCCTGCAGCGTCATCATCATTTTGGGGCCCTGGCTGGGGAGCTGCCTCTATCTGCATCATGGCTGACCTGAAGTCAGAGGGACTAAAGACCAAGGGCAGGCAGTTCTACTCCCACTTCACTGGCAAGAGCCAGTTCACGGGGTCACACCAGAGCATGGCACAGTGGGGAGGTCTCCCCCTGCAGGGAGGGGCACTGTGCCCGGGAGCAGGGGGACGGTAGCAGAGCAACCAAGTCCTTGTGGAAAAAATTAGTAAGTGACATAGATTCAGTCTTGCCTCTGCTTAGGAAGAATTGCTGAGCCAGAGAATCAGCTCCAGAATACTATCTGCAGATTCAGGGTGTTAGGGTGGGGCTTAGGCAGCAAGGCGGACAGAGGAAGCAGCCCCACTGTGGCTGGGATCCGCATCGTCCATCTAGCAACCAGTTCACATTGAGCCAGGCCAACTCGCTCAAGTAACTAGTTGTTTAGCCTCAGGCTGGAAATCGAAAATACAGTCTCTTCAGTAGCGTAGACATGGAAGGGCTGGAGGAACAGCCACCGTGAGAGCCCCACACACCCTCTAGGTTGGGGAACAGGCAGTTGGCAATGGGATGGGGCCACTACCCAAACTCCCACCTTCCAGAGCCCTCCTAGACACCCCCACAGCTGAGGAAAGACAAATAACTTCCTTTTGTCTGCCTTTCAAATGCGATGTGACTGCATTTCATTATCAGAACCTGCCTTGCATCCTGCCTCTTGCTGCAGATGTCCTGGGAATTCTAGTCCACGTACCCTGGGTCCCCAACACAAGGAGTACCACAGGCATGGGCAGGGCTCTCTTTCAGGGACAGTCATCCACATCCTTAGTGGCCTGCCAAGAGGAAGATGTCTGGAACCCTCCTCTCCTGAGTCCCCTCAAGATGGAGAGTCCGCAAATACACCACTCAGAGCCAGCGTTACTGAGTCACCCTCCTCCAGATCTGATCCCCCAGCAGCCTTGAGTGTTAGGGGACTGGCTTGGGGTGGAGGGGGGAGGAGCAGGGTTCATGAAATTAAGGTGGTATTAAGGACAAGATACCAGGAAGGCTTTCATCTTGCCCTGCCAGTCACCTTCTCCCCCAATCCCCTTCCCAAGAGTCTACAGATCATTGGTTCTCAAGGTCTGGTCCTGGGCCAGCAGCATCAGCTTCACTTGGCAACTTGTTAAAAATGCACCCCAGGCCTGGTGCATCAAAGCGGGGGCAGAGCCCAGTAATCTGTAGCCTAAAAATGCCCTCCAGCTGATTCTGCTGCATCCTGAAGTTTGAGAACTCCTGCAGTTGGAAATTAGGCATTTCTGGAGCAACAGAAAGTGGAAACAAGGCCCACTAGATTACTAGTGGTGAACACAGCATATACCTCAGCAGAGGTCCCGGTCAGGCTCAGATAGAGCCTGGGCTAGGTCCATTACCCCAAAGTCTAAACTTATGTCTCCTTTCCCTCTGGCTGACCACATGAGATAGGGTTAAAGTCATGACCAGCATGAATGCAGGGAAGACAGAGAAGGAAGGCCACATCCAGCCTGTGTCTGGCTCAGATAACTAATCCAAGTATCTGGAGTGGAAGAAGAGAACCTTGGTTGATATGCCTGGTGTCATACAGAACAGGCTCCTATACCAGGATATAGGAGATCAACTCTTAACACACAAGACCTGCCCTCTAGTAAATACGGTTTAATCAGGGCACTGCAGCATCTGCTCCTCTTAGACACTGGGGCAGAGAGGAAGATGAGGGACAGAAGCATTCCTCATCCCAGTGTCAGTTCCCGAGCTTGGGAATTGGTTTAAGAACTGATTTAAGACTGTTCTTTCTACCTTCCCCTGCTAAGATAAGGTAAGATGAAGACTTCCCTTTCCAATGTCTGGCTCCAGCTGCCCTCCCCTTCACACCCAGACTGAATAAGCAGGCTTCTGCTATATCCCCATTTTACCATTGCCACCTTCCCCTTGAGGCCTGGTGCTGCATCTCACTCTTCCATGCCAGTCTTTTTCCTGGGGCCTGAGGTCTGACTTGATCTGTTATCATGTATTACTTTATAACCAGGAAAAAACCCACAGATTTGAAAAACTGAATCCTCATCTCCCTATCTCATTTTCACTGAGGATCATGCTCAGCGTCAGGTCTGCAAGAGGGCATATAGCGTCTAGCTCACCACAGAGCAGCAGGAGCCCCAGCCTTGTACCCCAAACTCCAAGAGTGTAACACTGATGGGGTCCTTGTTGGATTTCTCTACCACTGTCACTTTCACACTTTTTAATGTAATCCACGACAAGAAATACATTTTGCATTGTGACTCAGTATACATGTATACACACATGTGGGGAAAACTTTTCTATGCCACTTTAAAACTGCTAGTCAAATTGCACATTACTAATTTCACAAGTTACTAATGGATAGCAACCTGCAGTATGAAAAACACTGTTCTGAAGTCCACACTGTAATAAACACACCACCAGCATCACAGAAAAGGCAGCATTAGTAGCACACTGTCATCATGACCCACATTGCTGAGAGCTCTATGTGTTTGCATATGTGTTACTGTCATTTCTATTAAAGTTCTAAAATTGCTACAGGCCATAATACCAACTCTGTGTTCCTAGTTTTCCAATAAATACCAAAAAATTACTTTTATTGGATTCATCTTAAAATTTGGTGATGATTTGAAACAGCAGTACATGTAGATGGCTAAATTCTCATTACCAGATAAGTGGTTATTTTCTAAGTTTCAACAAACATTTCTGTTCAATGAAGTTTGGTTTAAATCAAGTAAATCGATATCATCGCATAATGGAGTTTCTCTCTTCTCCCTGTTAAATGACAGTAGCTCAAAGACTGGAAACACTTGAAGGATAAAGAATGGGGTTTGAAAGGTGAAACGTGTGCCTTCCCTAATAGAGTTAGACCCTCAACTGTCCTGTGAGGGAAGCTCAAAGCCCTCCTTTCACAGCCGGGTTGGTTCTGCCTCTTTAGGACCTGCATTCGGGGCTCCGTCACTCAGCACGGTTATGCGTGGCTCAGGACACCAGGTCTCCGACCCTGCCCGCGCGTGCGCGCGTCATCTGCAGCAGACGGGCGGACACAGGATGCTGCGAGATTGGAACAGGCCTGCCCCACTCCTCGCCCTCCTTCCCCAAATCAAAACCCACCGAAACACCGTGAAAAGCCAGAAACCTCATGGCTTTAATTACTTCCATTCCCCAAGCTGCATGTGGCACACAGGACACCTCGTATCCCTCCAGGGGTGCGCAGGGGAGGGAGCGCCAGCCCAGCCTGCCTTCCTTCCAACTCCGCGCCCTCCACTCCGGCAGGGCTTGCGGGCTGGCGCCACCTGGCTTTTCAGAGCAGAACGGGAGGCAGGAGGTCGAGGAGGTGGGCGAGGGGCTGCGGGCACCGCGGAGGGAGGGCGCCTCGGAGCGCCTCCCACTTCAAAGCCCCGGGGCAGCCGGGCAGCTGGCAACCCGCGCTGCGGAAGGAGAGGCAATTACCCTCCTGGGAAACGAAAGACCTAGAATTTCCCCCGCTACAGACGTTAGAAGAGCAGATTCCACATTTAGGGCAGGCCTGAAGCGCAGACATAATGGTGGCAACTCAAAGCGTTATAAACAAGCACCGGTCGGTTTACGCCTTGATGGGTTCTGGCGGATTTGACCGATTACCGATTCTGCACAAACTTCCTCCATCTACCTCCGGGAACGGAAAGACGGCAGGCTCCGCTACCCACCCAGCTGAGCACTGGAAAGGGGGAGGGCTGTCGAACGGACCCCCTTGGCATGCAAACTGGGGAAACTACGCGTTCAGGAACTGATGTGAAAATAAAACAAAAGCCCGACTGGGAAGTGCTTTCAACATAAAGGCTTTAGTAGAAAAAGCAGCAACAGCCGTAAGAAAAGCTGTAATGGATTCTAATACCTGTTCAGTGCTGTATAAGTTCGCACTGAGTTTGCATTTGTGTGTATGGATGTGATGAATTCATAGGACTGCTAACAGGACAGCACTGCTATTAAACCTGGACTACTTATCAAAATTATCTACCCACCTATTTCAGCAGGTCTGTTCGGAGGGATCAAGAGCAGTGAATTTTTGGAAGCTGTTTTTCCGAGTAAGCATGCAGGTGCACCAACAGACACCTGGATGCATATAACATGCATACATTTTGTGCATGTATGGAAATGTGGGTTTGCATTTCTTATAATGACTCAGGCACCGTGCTATACACTTTAAAGCAGACTTTTACATTCACTTTTCATTTAATCATCACAACATTAGGGGGCATCATTAGTCCCTATTTTACAGGTGAAAAACCTGCAGCTTGGAAAAAATGTTGTGTTGGTATCACATATTTACTGAAAGTGAGGATGGCTTCGAATCAGCATAAAAGAAGCTATAAAACCAAATATATTTATTCTAGTTCCAGGCCATTCTCATATTCAGCAAATATGTGATGGACGCCTTCTATACACCAGTAAAGCACCATGGCCATCAAGATTCAAGACTTGTTCTACTGTTCTTGGGAACTCACACTTAGTGGAAGAGAGAGAAATTACAATCCTGTAGAATATAAACTCCGTAATCAGCCTGAGGCTTAATGAAGACTTCCTAAAAGAGAAGACACCCAGGCTGAATCCTGAAGGACCAATAGAATGACATCCTTCTACCTTATGAGGGAGGAGGGAGGTGTGCATGGGGTAGAGAGACAGCACATGTGGAGACATGAAGGCAAAAAACCACTGGTGTCCACCACCTTTCAGCAGAGCCAGGCTTCACTATGTGAGAAGGGAAAGTGGTGAGAAAAGAGATGTTATGTAAGGAGCATCACATGCTCATGTTTGCATTTTCCTGAAAGTTTGTGGGAAGTGAATGAAAGACTTACAGTAGGGAAATGATATGATCACATTATATAAAGATGACTCTGGTTGCTTCAAGGACAAACTAAAGTGCACACGGGTGGGAGGAGAAATGATAGAATGATGCAGGTACAGTCAGAACCTGTCATTACTAAGGCAGGAGGTGGGGGCAGGTGAAGGTGGATTTGAAAGATAATAGGAGGAACTGGCAATAGTTGCCAGGTTACTGGCCTAGCCCGACTGTTATCAGTGCCATTCACAGAGACTAGACCAGACAATGAGTTGCAAAAGGGACTATAACTACATTCCATTTTGAGAATGGTGAATTTTAAAAATCTAAGTACATCTACTTAGGATATGGAAATGCCCTCCTGTACGGGGTTGGATATTCAGGTCTAGCACTCCTAGAAAAGGTTTGAATTGTAGAAAAATCTGCCATCAACATCATCTGTGACCACAGAATGGCTAAAAATAATAAAAGTGATGATAATAACTGCTAACATGGATCTAGTACTTACTATTAGGTTTTCTCATTTAGTTCTTATAACAATCTCTGGGATACTCCTAAGATTAGATTAGATTAGACTGACTACTGCCCAGGGAGAGATTTTCATATCAGCAGAGAAAAAGTTCTATAACAGGACCCTGAGGATGAGGTTTACAAGTAGGGGCTGGAGAGCTCTAGGTAGAGTTGTAATGAACACCTTACATAATCAGCCAGACTCAAATGTGGAAGGTGACTATCTTTGCTCCAGGACAACAGCCAGGAGTGGTTGTCTGGGCTGGCAGCCCATCCCCACAGTCGTAAGGTCTTTGCTGAGGGACACCCCTCAGCCCCAGTGCTGTGTGGGGTTCTTTTAGCCTCCAAGTTGTCAAGGTCTCCCAGCCTGCAGGTGATAGAGGCAGAGACTGCTTCAGTGCAGAGAAACTGCTTGTTGTACTACATATCCCTGGATTCCAGCAAGGCTCATCAAGGTCAATCAAAACAGGAGAAAGCACCCAGACATAATTTCCAACATGGCAGACAGTTCCCCACATCATATCTCACATCAAGGAGGTGCTTCCCCAAAGTAAGCAAAAGCAGTTTTACCATATTATCATTAGTAGTGAATAACTCCTTTGTTAGCTCTTCTACCTGCCCCTACTGTTGATAATCTGGGAGTCTGTTATGTGAGGGAAAAGGATCACTTCTGAACACTGACTTTACTTTATACATTTGTTAATTATTATGTTGCCTCTTTATTTGATCATTGATTTCTATCTCTCTTACACTGAGTTCAAGACTCTAAAAACAAGTGAGACTTGTCACTGTATCCTCATTAGAGGAACTATAACCTTGTCCCAAAGGTCCTCGTGGGCTCAAAATTCACACAACAGAGTTGGTATGTTTAAAGAAACAGCACAAGTGACAAAGTGCTGATTTTGTTTTGCTTTAATTTTGTACTCCTGAACCCAAGACTATTATATTCTGGTTCAGGTATTGCTGTTCTGAATGAGAAGATGCGGTGAGGAGTACAGATGGTTGGCTCCTAGAGACCTGTCTTTGTAAAAATTTTCACAGAGGAATGTGGCACAGAGCAAGAAGCAATCCTGGGCTCTCCAGCTGTGCAGCCTGGGGAAATCAGCTCTCTGGGCTCCTATACTCATCTGCAAGAAAGGGGCAGAAGCAACTCTAAAGCACTTTGCAAGTTTAACACTCATTGCGTACTTAATACAAGAATAAGCAGGGTGCCATAGCTGGTTCTGCTGCTTCTCCATCTGCTATGAGTAAGGGACTCACTGTATGTTGATACACACAATAGCATCAGACAACATAAAGACAGATGATTTATGAATCAACAGATTACCAAGATTAAAAATGAAATATGCATTGTTGTACAGCAGAAACACATTGTAAAGCAATTATACTCCAGTTAAAAAAAATTTTAATGAATGACATACATACATGCATATGTATATACACAAATATATAGCACACCCATATAAGTAAATAAAAATTAAAATATGTGTATATAAAAAAATTAAAAGTATGTGCAAATAGCTCCAGAGAAACCGACTGGTCCATACGTGCAGCAGGCTGATGGCAAAGCCAGGTAGAAAGTTCAGATTTTCTAACTACTTGTCAGAAAATTTGCCCACTGGCCCAGGTGTGGGCAAATTATAAGTCACCAGGTACTGGAAGATTCAGTAAGATTCATGTTTAATGCTCCATGTGTGGCATGTTTCCTTCCCCACCATCATCAATAGTGCATTAGAAAAAGCTGCATGTCCTGGTGACAGCATGGATCTGCTTTTAAACGGGAGAACCCATGAATTTGCCCCTGCCTTTAATAGCAACTCTACATGTAAATTTGCTGAGGAATATCCTGAGAACATTTTTTTCAGAGCTGATCATAGGAATCCATTTAATGGAAGTAGCGAAGAGAGAAGAAATTACCCAGCTTGTCCTTCAACTAAGGGGCAGTAAGCTCAAAGAGAGCATGTTCCCCAGTTCCATCCTAGTATGTGCCCTGGGCAAGTAGCTATCTTGTTAGGTCTCAGCTCATTTTCAGGGAAATCCAGAAGCTGAAACTAGATCATTTTAATGACCCCTTACATGCTCAGATTTTATCTTGAGAAATTCCTGAAGCAAACTGCCTGAACTTTGGGCCAACTGTCCCATGCCTCTCTCAGAAAGGTAACTGAAAAAACTGTGATAGTTACTATTATCCAGTAGTAATAATAATGTTAAAATAGCTGTTGAGGAAGAGGAGTTTGCATCTGTTAAATAAATCTTGTTCGTTGTTGTTTAGTCCCCAAGTTGTGTGTGATTCTTTCGTGACCCCATGGGCCTGTAGCCTGCCAGGCGCCTCTGCCTGTGGGATTTTCCAGGCAAGAATCTGGAGTGGGTTGCCATTTCCTTCTCCAGGGGATCTTCACTACCCAGGGATCAAACCCACCTCTCCTGCACTGGAGGTGGATTCTTTACCACTGAGACACCTGCTGCTGCTGCTGCTGCATCGCTTCAGTAGTGTCCGACTCTGTGAGACCCCTTAGATGGCAGCCCACCAGGCTCCGCCGTCCTTGGGATTCTCCAGGCAAGAATACTGGAGTGGGTTGCCATTTCCTTCTCCAATGCATGAAAGTGAAAAGTCAAAGTGAAGTCGATCAGTCGTGTCTGACTCTTCGCGACCCCATGGACTGCAGTCCACCAGGCTCCTCTGCCCATGGGATTTTCCAGGCAAGAGTACTGGAGTGGGTTGCCATTGCCTTCTCCACTGAGACACCTAGGAAGCCCCAAATCTTGTTTAGACCGAAGTAATAAGTAAACTGGAGCCAAGTGTGCAGGCTCCTGCCCGCCCTTCGCTTCAACACTCATTAAGTATTGAATTGCCCTTACCTAAGAAGCCATGAGGAGAAGGGGACCAGAGAGGATGAGATGGCTGGATGGCATCACCGACTCGATGGGCATGAGTGTGAGTAAACTCCGGGAGTTGGCGATGGACAGGGAGGCCTGGCGTGCTGCAATTCATGGGGTCGCAAAGAGTCAGACACGACTGAGCGACTGAACTGAACTGAACTGAAGAAGCCATGCGCTAAGGCAGGCCTGGAACTCAGCTGGTGTAACCTGACATTAAGGGAGTGCTTACCAGCAGGACACTCACCTGCTTTTACCCGGTAAAATGCTAAAAGCGGCCTGGCGCTTTTGCTCTGGCCCCCGGCAGAGTCATGGCTCTGCGGTTCCTACAGTCCCTTCTGGGTGAAAGTCACCTTCCCAAAGTCCTTGTGGATCTTCCGCAGCCGCCTCAAGCGAAAGCCAGACTC